TGCCAGCCTCAGCCTCTCCGGCCAATCTAGCCCAGAGTCTGGCCACCCTCACACTGGAGAATTTCCTCCCAAGATCCAATCTAAACCTCTTTTTGTTCAATTTAAACCCATTTCCCCTTGTCCTGTCACTGACACTTGTAAAAGTCCCTCCCCAGCCTCCCTGTAGGTCCCTTCAGGCGCTGCAGCAGGGATAAGGTGCCCCCAGAGTCTTCTCTTCCCCAGCTGAACACCCCCAGCTCCCTCAGCCTGTCCTCGCAGCAGAGCTGCTCCAGCCCCTGGCTCAGCTTTGGGGCCTCCTCTGAACATGCTCCAACAGCTCCATGTCCCTCTTATGGTGGGGACCCCAGAACTGGACGTAGGATTTGAGGTGGGGTCTCACAAGAGCAGATATTCCAAGTCTCCTTTCACTTACCAGCATAGAAGTGGTAGAAGGGCCACCAGACCGCACTGTTGGGAATATAGGTGAGCAGCGAGGCCACATAGCCCCTGTAGAAGCCTCGAAAGCCATCGGCCTTGAAAATCTGTACAATGATATCCTTGGTTTGGCCGAAAACCAACATCCGCTTGCCGTCTTGGTTCCGTACCTTAAACCTGCCCATGCTTTCGCCCTTCCTCTGCATCATGAGATGCTGGGAGATCACATCGATGGGCACCGTGATGCTCTGGGCCACCAGGGAGGCCGAGCCACCGGCCACCAGAGACTTCACGGCGTTGTTGTTGTTGTAGCGCGACACGTATTTCCGAGTGAGCTCGTACGTCGTCACGTAGCACTGTCCAGAGATCAGGGTGAAAGTGTTGACCAAAAAGCCGCGGTAGAGACCAGCCGCCCCTTCTGTCCGCAGGATTTTCACAAAAGCGTCGAAAGTCCCGTTGTACAGGCTCTTGCCCTTTTGAACCTGCAACCGTGTCCGGATGAGCGTGAAAGGGTAAACGCTCACCCGGATCATCATAGTCATGCAAATTCCAAACACATAGAATTTCCTCTTGTCCAGGTGCTCCCACTCAATGATGGGGATGTTGCGTTTGTCCTCCATGACTCCTCGGAGCTGGGTAGGCAAGGCCCCACCAGATCCACCTCAAAAATACAGAGGAGATCCCGGCTGGGCCCTCTTGTCTTGACTGATTAGATTGGAAGCACCGGCATCTGGAAAGAGAGACACTGTCAGTAGATGAATCACAGAATCACTGAGGCTGGAAAAGCCCACTGAGATCATCAAGTCCAGCCCATGGCCCAACATCCCCACCTGGGCCAGAGCAGGGCACCAAGTGCCACATCCAGCCTCTCCTCAAACCCCCCCAGGGACGGTGACTCCCCCTGCCCTGGGCAGAGCATCCCAGGGCCGGAGCACCCTCTCCGGGAGGACGGGCTGCCGGAGATCCAACCTGAACGTCCCCCGACGTCATTCCAGGCCGGGCCCTCTTGTCCTGTCACTAGTTGCCCGGGAGAAGAGCCATTCAAATTAGCTAAAGCAGCCTATGTCACCTAACTCCGCTGATCTTCCCCCCAATGATTCCCTTGCACCCCTGCCGGAGCGGTGGGGCTGTAACTGCACAAAGCGGGGCTGTATCGCGGTGGCGGCCACCGTTAAACTTGTTAAATGCTACGAGCAGTCCGCCTGCCCGCAAGCTATTGCTACGGCCCAGACTCCGGCGCCGCAAAGGGAAGCTTGCCAGGCTTTGCAAAGCAGTTCGAGATCCCCTCACAAAAGCAAACGTTACCTTTTAATGAACTCACAGGAATATGGTTCATCGACCAAAGCTGCTTCTCCTCAGTCATTCCGGGTTTGTGCCGCTCCCGGTCGGTGGGGTGTCACTTCTCAGTTCCAGGCTCTGTACAAAGAAGTAAAAAAGGCGTCTCCGTTGGCGTTCTCAGATTCTTCACACAAAAGAGATGCCTTTTTTGTCCTGGGCATTTCTATTTTGACCTTTTCTAAAGCTGGAGGGTGACGCAAGCCAGGGAAGGGGAAGAGGTCGGGAAAAGAGGAGCAACAGAACAAACACGAGCAGCCAGGTAGAGTCTCCAAGTTGATGACGGAGACCCTGAGATGAAAGGGTTAAAAATCACAGCCCAGTGAAGCCATCACCGCTTCTGGTAGGGGAAATGCTCACCAATCTGCCATTTTCCCCATTTTGCAGCACTCAGAGCATGAGGAATGGTGGGATGAGGAGGGGAAGGGAGGTCTCGGCTCGGCCTCCGGTATCCCTGCATCTCAGCTGCCTCCCAGCAGCCACCACCAACCCCTCTGCCAGCAGAAGACCCTCAGTAGTTCCACCCACCACCCTTTTGGCTGCAATTTGCTTTAACTTGGTGCGTGATTAACCCAGCTTGGAATAAACCGACCCCCTCAGAGGGCCAGGCACGTACGAGCGAAAAGAGCATCTCGAAGAATCAACGCGACTGATTATTTTACCAACCACAAGGGCTCTCGTTCCATATTTAAAAAACAAACAAAAAACCACTTCAGGAATAACAGAGCGCTAAAAGGCTCGAGCGCAGCTGCATCAAGAGCTGGCAAACGCGCGTGTGAAGCCCGTGCACAGGCACAAGCGGAACTGTCAGGAGAGCAGAGCAAGGACCACGTTGCTCCGTTGGCAAACACAGAAACGGGAAGCAGCGCGCCCAGAGCTCCGAGAACGGACCCGCTTTGAACCCAGGGCAAGCGAGAGCTCCAGCAGAACAGCCGACAACGCTGCGCCGATTCGGGGCCTGTTTCTGGTCATCGGCGAAAAGCATTAAACGTCTTCACGTCGTGGATGTAACGAAGAGAGCTCAGGCAAGAGCAGTTTGGTTAGAAAAGCAACAACGGGCAAGGATTTACTTCTGGCACTGAGAAGAACTGATGCTGGTGCCATTCCCAGACCTACCTGCCAGAAAAACATTTGCTTAACAACAGCAAACAGCGCTACAAGATGCCACGGGGAAGTAAAAAACACCCAAGGGCATCCGGGTCTGACAGGAAGGGGCGAGGAAAACCCTATTTTACCTACTACAAAGAAAACTAAATTGCATCATTACAGCCCATTCACTTGAGAGATAACATGCAGCAAATACCAGAGCTTCTCGAGACAAAAGCTCTATGGCTATAATTATTATTGCAATTATTATTATTAGGGTATTGCTGGTTCACTAATAATTAGACAGCAGAAAGCTTCCTAGAGACGAATTATGTGCACACAGCAGCTATGAAACCATTATTTTGTTCTTTTTAGGAGTCTCACTAGTTTAATATTTTAGATTAAAAAAATAAATTAATAAATGAGAAGCGAGGCAGTTGACTTCTTTGGTGAAACCTGAGGGTTTAGTCTCTATTCCACATTCCCCTGCCACCCCAAAACTGAACCCGAGCTCCCCACACGAAAGGTAACAGGCACCTGTGACGAAAAATCCTCATTGCTGCAATAAGGAAAACGAATAAATAATAAACAAGCATCCTTGTAGCCTTGATTTTTCTTTCATTTTACACGTCATAGTGCTTCCTTTTTAGAATTTCAGCCACAACCTCCTTGAGGAAATAACTGCATTTTCTTTGGGCTCTTACTAATAACTATTTTCATGCCAGACCAAAACCAGAAAGATGGTGTCACCTCAATCCCAGGGCCTGGGGGCGATCAAAGCCAAAGGGGACACAGGAAAGCACTCTGGTGTCACCACAGAGACTTTGATTTGACCACCACGGCCACAAGTTTCACTCTGACAAGACAAGAGTTTTGCTCAGAGCACACAGAAATTAAATCTAGGGCCTTGCTCAGAGCAAGGATCTGGCTTCAGATGATCGTTCACATAAATCTGGGGAGATTGTTAGAAAAATAATTTCTAAACCTCAAAAGAGCTGCCCTGCCCCTCAAGACAAAATGCGAGTATGCCGGCTTCCCTCCCAGGTCTCGGAGCCCTTCTTGAACAGTTTTCCAGGCAAAAACCCTTCAATACGATTCTACAGATGGTGACTTCTCGCTGTGAACGGAAAAGCATTTCTTGAATTTCTGCCTGGAAATGAAAGCAGAGGATTACCAAGCAGCCTGTACCTGCTCCGCTCTCTCACAGCTTAAGCCAACAACCCCCCCCCTTATTATTTATCTCCCCACCGACCCGTTCTCCAAACAGCTTTTCCCTGCAGCTGTACCTCAAGGCGATTCCTTGGCAAATAAAGACAAGGCCTTTGTGTACCCCTGGCCAAGGATGTCTCTTGCTCAGCATACTAATGCCTGCGCAGCCCGGCCTGGGAACCAGCCCGAAGGCGGCGGCGAGGCTGCCCTTCCGAGCATCACTCAGCCGCTCCCCGCGGTTGCCTGTGGAGATCCTCTCAAGTGGGAAAGCAAGAGATCAAACAAATCCCCTACGAGCCTCTCCAATTTGGAGCCTTTGATCTGCGCCGCGCTACGCCGAACCTGGGCTAAGCAGGCAGCTCCTCTCCCAAGTCCTTCCTGAATTTTACACCCCGTGATCAAGCAGATCTAAGGAGCGGATCGCTGAAGATGTGCGAGCAGCTGTTCTCT